CGAACTCATCCTTTTTTGAACCCAAGAAGAGGAAGTGAGGCCTGGGTAAACTGTGTTGAATCCTGCATGACAGGAAAGTTCCTGAAGAATGGAAATGGAGAGAAACACCTCTCTAAAAAAACAGTGATCCCCACATGAGAAATCTGTAGGCAGGCAGCGCCGTTCTGATGGGCTGGACAGTCTCACACCAATGAAGAGACATTTTGGCAAGAATTATTTCAACCCGGAAGTAAAAAACAAAATTCCCATCTTCGCTATGATGGCTTCTGTTACCGTCTGCGTGAACATGCGCCGAAAGGAAACCTCTCTGTCCGCCGCACTGCGGTCGTGTCCATACTCTTTGGGTCTCTTCACATTAGCCAAAGCGCGTGCCTCTAGTTGAAGCACTCTTGGGCTGAATTATCTGGGAACCTGTGCTCTCCACAGAGGAAGAGCTTGGGACTTCTCCTGGTGGGGACTCTGGCTGGGCCTCCTGGCCACGTGATTTCACATCCTTTGAAGTCTTTGTGACTCTATCCAGTTTTTCCTTATTGGGGGGAAAAGAAACGCTACAAAAGTCTCTTCTTACAGAAGGTATTTTCACTTTCATATTTTTAGATGACATGAAGTTCTTTTACCCAGAGGACAAGACATACATAAAACTTACTATGATGAAGTTCAAGGGAAAAGCTAATATAATTTGTAACCCCATCTGCTGAGTATCCATACCCGTCCCTCACGGCCTCTCCCCCATAACCCACGAGCTGCTCTGGGTAAATGGGAACTTTTCACACTGATGGTTTTGGGACTTTGCACCATAAGGAAAGCAGGGTTTCTGGGTTTGACACAGAAAATTGTAGGTTTAGGAATTCCAAGGGGTTGAGAGCAGTGATTAGAAAACAGAAGTCTGGGGCAAGAGCCCGGGGCAATGTCCTCTTCCCACATGGGGGTCTTCCGGGCCCTTCCTTCTGTTCTCCAACTGCCTGCCCCTGGGCCCAGCCCCAGGGTATAAGGATGCCCTAGTTAGTGTGACGAATTAATGGCTTCCCAGGGACAACCACAACGGGTGTTCATCCTCCCAGAAGGAAGTCAACATATACTTACTGGGTGTCTGCTGCTCTGAAGAAGCATGTCCACACGGAGGCACATTCTCTCACATATCACATTTCCCTGACACAATTATCTCTGTGACAGCCCTGCCCCGCGTGCGAGACCTAAATCTGGTCATGAGGAAGCGGCTGACAAACCAAACTGAGAGACACTCTAAAGTAAGTGGCCTGTGCTCTGAAAAGGCTCCCAGGCTGTAGGAATCGGGAGCACGAGGGAGCCCTCCGGCCGAGGAGCGACCTGAACCGGCCCCACAGCCGGGAGGTCTGTTGCCGGGACAGCAGGCAAACCTGAGCAGCCCCCGAGCTCGGGAAGCAGGGACGAGTCGTGACAGCCTCCTCTTCAGGTGGACGTAGTGTGGTTGAGGAGGAGGACACCCAGGGGTGTGGGAGTTCTCCTCTAAAGCATGTGGGATAATGGGGTGTCATGTTGGCAACTTAAGCCAAATGGGGGTGGGAGGAGTTATTGTATTATTCTTGTCCAAAAAAAAAGTAACGTGATGTTGCATACATAACTCACTAAAGTCAGGCCATCGTCGATGAATGATGCTAGTGTGGGCATGGATGTCACTGCCCATGCGTGTATTTCTGACCCTGCCTGTGGGTGTGACGACCCCAAACAACTGCTACTCTGTGATGCGTGTGGCCCTGCTGTCCGCCTCGCCAGCCGCCCTCCCTTCTTCCATGCTTGCTGGCCAGGAGAGCCCCGGGGCCCTGAGACGCGGACAGCGGGTCCCTCCTCCCGCCGGAAGGTGAGTCATTCCCATTCCAGGCCAGTCATGCTTCAGGCATGGCCTGTGATCCTGGCTGATAATATATGAGCCGTGAAAGCAGGTTGGCTGGCTGGGGAGAGGGGTGCTTAGCAAAGATTTTCCTTGTTAATAACAAAAATAGATTTTGCTACTTGTTTAAATATATATTAATATGTGTAGTTTTATATATATTCATGTTAATTAACATAGATTAATGTGCCGTGTAGTCCCACCGCTGTGGGTGTCTTCAATTTGGAATCTTAGCTCTGGATTCGTAAACGGCCCGGGAGGTCGTCTGGATTCTGGCCGCCACCTGTGCCGGTTTCCCACGCCTGGCAGGGCCGAGGGTGGCAGGTGCCCGTGTCAAAGGTCACCGTTGATGCGACTCGAGTCCAAGTCTTCGTGCCCCTTCCTCAGAGCGCTGTGCTCTCCCCGGCTCTAAAACAAGAAAATAGTTAGAACTGCCCAGGACATTTTGATTGCGGGGTCTTGAGTGTCTAATTCTCCTGACAGGGAGTGATGGATTTTCACCCAGGGAGAGGTTCACTCAATCATTTTAATGCAGGCTTCTGCCAGGGGCATGATCTCCATCCCAGGCAGCCCCCTGCCCGGACCTGCAGGAGGGCACAGCCCTTCCCGGGGAACATTTGGCTTCTTATCACATCAAGTGCACGTGTGGTGTTTCTCCCCTTCCCTCCCACCACATGCGGACCGCCACTCACAGAGACTCAGGCATTACTTCATGCAGGCGGCTTCATAGAAGGGAAGAATCTCTCATCTCTTGGGAAGTGACTCTTGAAAACAAAGACATATAAGCATCTGCCATTCTCTCCCACCAAAAACGTTGGCACATGTAGAATGACACCGGGCAGCCGCCCACCGTGCAGCCTCCCACCGTGTGGCTTCACTCTGCTGCTTTGTTTGAATTTGTGTAGCGTTTAGTCATGGTTTTGTCTTGAATTTTTCACCTTCTCTACCGTTTTGTAAATCTTCGTAAGTGCAGCCCTGTGTTTTGCCAAGATAAGGCATTCTCTGGACATTTTGCTTTTCAGATAGAGGAATGGTGATGCACATTTTTGCATGGCTAGCCACCATAAGTAAGTAGATCACTATCTTTTTGCTAAATTCATTGTGGATTAATCACTACAGATTAAAATAATCCCAAATTGAAAACAGTTGCTTTTAAAGGCTAATACGAATTATATAAATGTTGTATTGGTGTTTTAACAGCTTAATTTGCAAATAAAAGAGAAATCATAATAATTTACCTCTAAAAAAAAAAAACTCAGATTTTTCAGAATGTTTTCCTTCATGAAAACAGCACCACCATCTGGAATCCTTTAGTTTGTGCAGTGAAAGAATTAATTATAAGGTCTCACTTTGTTTTGTTTTGGCTGGTAGAACAATAACTGTCTCTTCCTGAGAGATTGTATAGGTAAAACTCATGCAGAAATTGCATTTTGTTATCAAGCTAGAAATAGCTGTATTTCTCCCCTCCACCCACCACAAGGGATTCGTGTAGTTTATGTCCTACAGAAATAGACTCATTTTCATGGTATCAGACTCATGATTTCTGTCAGAGCTTACGTTACTATAAAATTAATATTTCAACAGGGATTAATTTGATATGCCCTCCTGACTATGCATTTTCTCCACAATAGAAAAATAACACTTTTTCTTTAATTTGATATTTAGTAAGTTTGATGTTTCAATTTCTTACTTTTTCTTCAAGAGTAGAGATTAATCAGGACACACCATGAAGAAAATGGAACCAGTCTTCAAAAGGTGAAAAATTTGTAGAATAATTTTAAGCATGAAACAAGTGAGCAGAATTATTATCATTAATCTGTAAATAGTGTGGCACATATGTACTCATGTATATGATGGATCATATATAGCTTATAGATCACATACAGCTCTGTGCAATAGTTTTACAGCATGTAAAAAAATGCAAACTTTATTATTTAATAAGGTCTTCAAAAATGGAAAACACTATATAATGTTTGCTAAAAATCCCTACTATTCTCATGAATGGAACAAAGCAATTTGCTCCAGTGAAAAATCACATCCAACATTCTAAACAATCACTTTCTTGTATTATTGTATGAGGTTGTTTTAATCACTGGCGTGATTGCCATTGTTTTGTCATACTTTGGCCTTAAAGCTGAACACTCCAGTGTTCCATTCGGTTGCCCCAGTCTGTCTCGCACTGAGCCACATGCACCCTCTACCGTGGGGCCAGGAGCAGCTGTGTTTCCTGGAACACAAAGGTGGGGGTTCTGCAGCTGTATCGGGGGCCTCGGCAGAGAAGCCTGTTTTTATATCTGCTCCCCATCTCACTCTTGCCTTCAATTCCCTCGTCTGGGACTATGCCAGCCATCGGCTCACCCGGTCATCTGTCTCCCTTTCAGCCGCTGACAGTCACTGAGCGCTCACAGCGTGCCAAGCCTGCTCTGAGGACTTTGTATGTATTCAGCCATTCTCGTTAGAATCCTATGAGGCGGGCACGGTCACGTCCCTCATTAGACACGAAGAGGCTGAGGCCCAGAGAAGTGGAGGAAGCTTTCCCAGCCGCGACTCAGAGGCAGCGTGCCCCAGACGCCGCTGCTTCTCAGCCGGTGCATGGCGGCTGGGGCATGAGTGGTCTTTGACTTTGTCACCTTGACATCATATTACTTTTAATCTAAATATCTGATTTCAGAGAAACATCAAATCAGTGTATTAGCCCTATTTTCCATACTTACTAATGCTTGTTTTTGTCTACACATGTTTAAATTTCTGTTTCTTCAAAAGTCATTCAGTATTCAAGAACTATTTATTGAAAGTCATCTATGTAATTTCTAAAGTACGATCTAGCTTTAAAAACATCTATCATTCAATTTGGCATTATCTATCAAAATTGGTGATGTACATAAACTTTGAGCTAACAATTCCACTGCTATGATTTTATCTTACCTATATTCTCCCATACGTCCTGAGAGGCAAGTGAACAAGGGTGTTCCTGTCATTGCTGTAAAAGCATCGTTGCAAACAATCTAAATGCCCACCCATAGGGGCTGGTTAAATAAATCATGGCCCATCCTTGCAGCGGGATACCGTGATGTCCTTAAAGAGTGGGCCAGCTCTGTGGGTGTCCGTATGGAACTAGGTTCAAGATACACCAACTGAAAAGGTGCAGAAGGGATAATTTGACAATTACTATTTATGTGGAACAAAAAGTAAACGCACACACCTTTATAGGTACAGAAAACTTCCTAGTAAATGCCTCTGGAGGGGTTGTAGGAACACAGACTTATTTCAGTGCTTACTCTGATGCTACGTAAATGCTTACTATGTTCATATATTGTTTTTCAGTAAACACAGAAGCAAATGATAGAGAAAGGGAGAATTGATGCTTCTACGAGCAAAGCATGCATTTGGAGCAAATACACTCAATTCCCTGCCTGCACCACCATAGAAAGTGCGTTTGTTATGGAAGAGGAGCATGTGTGCATGTGATCTCCCTCCCAGGCAGGTGCCTGAGTCCTGCAGGTGAGCAGGTTGCACATACAGGAGGGAAAGCACTTCTCTTGGGGCAAGGAGAGCAGCCGTGGGGGCCTGGGGCTGGGCCTCGAGGGCATCACGAACAGTGATGCAGGCTCGGGATGGTGGGCTCAGGACTGAGTTCTCTGGTGCCAGTCTGGACTCCGCAATGACTTGTCACGTGATCTCGGGCAGATTGCTTAGCTTCTCTGTCCTAGTTTCCTTATTAATAATTGGGGGGTAATGCAGTTACCTGTTTCATCCTGCAGTAGTGGGGTTTAAATGCATCATGTACCCAAAGGCTGAGGGGGTGCCTGGCCCACAAATCACTGCTGGAGTGGTTCCTGCTGCAGCTGGTTGAATGGGGAAGGGTAAATTATTTGTAAAAGGCAGTATGATTACTAATTACAATTTGGGGAAAATTAAGCTAGAACTCCATTTCAAATCTTACCCCAAAATAGTTGGCAGGTGATTATTATTTACAACAGCCAAGATTTGGAAGCAACTAAGCATCCATCAATAGGTGAATGGATAAAGAAGTGGTGCATATACACTCTGGAATATATTACTCAGCCATTAAAAAGAATGAAATCTTGTCATTTGAGACAACATGGATCACCCTGGAGGGTTTTATGCTCAGTGAAATAAGTCAGACAGAGAAAGACAAATACCATATGATTTCACTTATAGATGGAATCTAAAAAAACAAAACAAAACAGAAATAGACTCATAAACACAGAACAGACTAGCAGATGAAGGGAAAAAAATAGTGAGAATGTTTGATATCTTGATCTGGGCAATGGTTACATGAGTATATACACGTGTCAAAGTTCATCAAGCTGTACACTAAGATTTGTGCCTTTTATCATATGCACCTCAATAAAAAACATAAAAGTAATTGTCAGGTAGATGAGAGATTTAAATAGTAAAAAACAAAATGATGGAAGTATAATAGAAAACACAGGTGCATTAACATATTATCTTAGACATGAAAGAAACATTTCTAAATACAATCCCAAAGCCAAAACCCTTAAAAGATGATTGAACACATACAAATTTGTAAACTTCTTGAACACACACACACCACCATAATCAAAGTTCAAAGAACAAATGAGAAAATATTTGACCTCACTAGTGATCAAAGAAATGCAGATTAACAAGAATGGCAGTACTCAATGCTGAGATAAGTGTGCAAAACATGGTCCTGCCTACAGTGTTGACCAGGGCAGAAACTAGAAAATATCTTCTTGAGAAAAATTGGCATTATGTTTCCAAACTTTAAAATGTATGTGACTTTTGTCTTAGGATCATAGTGGAATTGATCCTAGGAAAATAATCAGACAAGCGCAAAATCCAAGATGGCAATCCCAAAGTATGTTTTTATGCCAGTGAAACATTAGAAGCAACTGAAAATATACATCAATAGGGAATTGGTTCAACGACTTATGATAGATCCCGATAAAAAATACCACTAAGAGTGATGACACACATCTATATTTATTAATATGGAGAGTAACCAGATTTAAGTGAAAAACTCAGGTTGCAAAATAGTAGACTAATATGAGTCTTTTTTGTAAAAATATTTGTGAGTACAGGCACAGAAAAAAGCCTGAAAAAATATATTTTATTAAAATGCTAATGTATTAGTTACTAGATAATCAGATTCCAGGTGATTTTGCTTCCTTCTTTATAAATTTCTGCATTATTAGTGTTTTTGTTTTGTTTTGTTTTTACTTCTATAGCAATTTTTTTTTCAACAGTACTTTCCATTGTGGGGGATCAAACAGAAGTAAACTTCAAAGGTGAGCATGGCATAAGCCCCCCCCCCCCACCATCACTGCCATTTGGGTCTGTCAGTGATGTTTGCATTTTTATTACAAACGTGAACAGTGGACTAGAAGGTTTTACCACTCAAGTCTAATTTAAACAACCATCTTAGGGACTTTTTTCCAGTTAGGTTCAGCAGAAAAGGGTTTAAAATTTCCTTAATCATCAGGTTTTTTTAAGGTTTGCTGACTAGAACAATGATATTCTTGAACAGCATCATAAATAGGTTCATGAACTATTCCAGGCAGGGTAAGTCTGTCCTTCAAAGGCAGCCTCTCCACTCAAGAAACATTTATTAAGCCCAGACCCTGTGCCAGGCCCGGAGAATAGTTAAGTGTGTGAAACACGGTCTCCACCCTTATGTTTACGTTCTAGCAGAGGGAGGGCAGACAAGTAAACGTGTAACACGGTTAAGATAAAGTAACAGTAGTAAGCAAAGGGGTACAAAGCAGTCTAGCTGGGGAGCAAGTGGGAAGAGCTTCATTTGGGGCCCCTCTGGGCCTGGAGAGATGTTTCCCATTTGTGTTCAGTGGGCAAAGGGAAGTAGTGGCCAGGTCAGCCGTGCTCCGGGCAGGATGAAAGAGAGATGCCGAATACAGCACAGCGGAGGGCTCAGGGAAAGGCTTTCAGACTTACACGGGCAGTGCGTCCTCACAGATCAAAGAGCCAGATCAAAGCCCGGAGCGTTCACGACCCTGCCCCATTCCCACTCCTCCCCGCGGTAACAGCCCACAGCCTGGAGTGACTCCTGGGCATTGCCTCCGTCAGACTCACAAACGCACCTGCCAGGGTGTTATTTGCTCACCTTCCGTTTGCTTTACTTTGGCAAACATGGAGTCATGTTACCCACATCATCTGGTACTTTTCTTTTAAATTTATGTTGCCGTCTACCCAAGAGTATCTCTCTTGGTCAGTGAGTAGAGACCTGAGACACGTGTAGAGTGGCTGTGTGATGTCGTATACGGTGGGACTGATTCAGTCATTTCCCTATTGTCAGGCTTTCAAATGGTTTCTGTCTTGCTCTTCCTTCGCCCAGAACAAACAACACTTTAATGGCCACGCTTTTGCGTGTATCCTCCTCCGTGTGTGTTTATTTGCATGGCACGGACTTCTGAGTGTGTATCTGCCAAGCCAAACACTACATGGACTTTGAATCTCAGTAGATGTGCCAGTGTTCTCTCAAAAAGCTGTGAGTTCTCTGTTCACATCCTTTGCTCATCGTCCTGTTAGTTTCCTTGTCGCGTCACTCTGCAGACGTCCTTCGGGTCTCATAGGTACCACAGATATGTTTCCTAGGCTATAACTTTTTTTATTCATTTCAAGTCGTTAAATGTGTCAGTCTTTTCCTTTACAAAGTCTGAGTTTCTCTTGATTTATTTTTATTTTTAATTCCTTTCGAGGCTTTCAATCCATCTAGATTTTTCATATAACATGAAGAAAAGATCTGATTTTGATTTATTCTAAAGGCATAGCACAATATCTGGCATCACTTATTAAATATCCCACCATTTCCCATTAAATTAGAATGTCATCTTTACCATAAGCCTATTTCTGAGCTGTCTGTTCTATTCCAGTGATGCTTATCTATCCTTATGTCAATTTCATACTTTTTATTGCTGTAGCTTTTATGACCACTTAATAGTCTTGAACAGGATGGCATCATGGTCAATGACGTGGGCTCTGAGGCCCGAGGTCCGGGTTTGGATCGGCCTCCACCAACTCTGTGATCTTGGGCAGGGTACTGCAGCGCTCATCCTTAAAGGGGGGATAATAATACTACCAAATTCACAGAGTTGTTTTGATGATCTGATGACTAATGCCTGTAAAGTGTTCAAAGCCATGCCTGGCACGGGGTCAGGGGTCACTAAGTGCTGGCAGTGACTAGTACTACCACTGGTCTGGAACATCTACAGTGGGGTCCGGGATATGCCACCCCAGACCATGGCACCTTGGCACACTGAGTATTTTAAGTGAAGGAGTTTGAGAAAACAGCAGAAGCAGGAAGGTCGCTCTGACCTCCCCTGAAACACCAGGAGGTGCCCTCCTGCACCCAGAGGACAGGACCATCCTGTCTCCAAAGATGAAAGGACCCTGAGAAGAACCCTAACCCACAGGCCTTGCTAAGTCCCCCCATTTGCTGCACAACCTCAGACTCCTTAACCTGCCGTATTTCCCCGCAGCTGTTCACCCCTCATCAAACCCAGCACAAAAATGCTCAGTTTCAGCCATTCCTCCAAGTTTTCATGTGCTTATAAAGGCCCCCATGAAACATGAAACTTAACATTCACAATTTGTATGCTTTTCTCCTGTAAACCTGTCTCTATCAGTTTAATTTTCAGACCCAACTAGGGACCCTAAGAGGGTCGAGGGCAACTTGTTCCCCACTGCATCAGTTTTCACTGTTCTTTGTCATAGTTTCCTCGCTGCTTCTCTGTTTTTATTTTTCCAAATGAACTTAGAGTAATTCCATCTGGTTCCCTCACAAAAGCCTCAGGACTCCTATTCATATTCGTGTAGAGTATGTATCTGGAAGAGATTATAACATACTTATAAGCGTAGTTTCCTCCTTGGAAGAGGTTAAGTTGGGACTTCGTACAAATGGATCTTTAACAGGTGCATATATTACTTAAAAAAACAGAAATCTCTTTGGAATTTTTCTCTTTTATGAACACATTGGCATTCTGATACAAATTACATTCATGTTATGTTCCTGAATAGTTTTGTCCTAAAGGAGAACCCTGGTGCTACTGAGAACCTGCAAGGTGGTAGGTGTGGCTGAGGAATGGGAGCATTGTGCGGAAGGAACCAGTGGCCTTGAGGGGCTGGTGCGCGTCTTCCTGACAGAGGTGAGGACTCTCCAGAGCCTAGAAACGGCCTTGCACGGAGCCACAGAGACAGGAGCAAGCACTGCCTGTGAGTGGCTTAGCCCCAGGAGCTCAGGATCGGGGGGAAGTGAAGCCCTGTCCACAGGCCGAAGCCGGGGCTGAGCCCTGGGGGGAGGCAGAAAGCTGTGGGAGGGCAGGTGCTTCCCTTCTCCCCCAGGGAGTCTCAGGGTGGGACAGTGGTGACCTAGACAAGGCTCCACTGTGCCCTCTGAAGTGACAGGCCTGTGGCTGTCCCAGCAGTGCCTTATCCCCAGTTCCTAGGACAGCAAACACAGGACACAGCAAGTATTTGCTCAGTGAATGATTGAAAAGCCCAACCGAAACAACCGTAAATATTTTGAGTGAGAAGTGAAAGCAAAGACTGTTGAGCATATTAAAAAGAGATGAACATAGTACGATAACTAGGAACACACGGGCAATATGGGCGGTAAACGCGCAGTGAATAACCGCCGGGTCTGCGATGGCATATAATCGGATCTGAGCAACTGAAAAGCTACTTATTTGAAGGAGACCCTCCCCCACCAAGTTCCCACTTGAAAGCTAATGCTTGAAAATGAGTTGTTAAAAATGGTGCAACCATTTTACATCATGACTGAAGTGGGAAGGGAAAAGTGAAGTTGGGGGGCTTCAGACAATCATCCAGAAGCAGAGCTGGCTGGAGAGGGGCCTGCGGAGCGCCCCCCCGCATGGGGCGCTGCCTCCAGTGCCAGCTGGGGAGCGGAGGGGCCATCGCTGCTCACACCGAATCCTGCCTGTGCTACACTCCCAGCAGCTCAGGAAGGGACTCCCTTGAGAGGGCCTCCGGAGCCCGTGGAGGTCACCAAGGAGGGTGCTGCACGTGTAAGAATCGGTCGGGGCCACCATTTCATGCAATACTTTTGAGGGACTTAGACAGTGTTCAAGGGTGCAAAACTAGACAGCGAAACCACGAAGAAGGTGCGTTATGTATCCCCCTGCGGGCTTCCAGCCCTTCAAGCCATTCAGCCCCTTGTCAAGCCAGGCCAAGCTCTGCGTGGTCCCTACTGGGATGCAGACCACTGCCCGTCACCCTGGGTGGACACTAGACATCTTCACCACACTCTGTGATCTCTTGCAAAGTGAAGGAGGTGTACTTTATTCTCTGTCATAGATTATTTAGAGGGTCTCAGTACAGACCTTGAACTTCAAAACAAGAGGAATTTAAATTCACACACAGAGATCCAGGGATGCTGAAACAGCCCACTGCCAACACCGTATCTGGAACGACGACTTCCCCCCGCCCTTCCTCAGCCCTGTCGCTGAATCTGGCTCCCTGTGGAGTCCACCTTCACAATATACGGTTTCTACTGTCCCGACATGCTTCAGGTGTGGTGCAAACACCACCGTACAAAATGTGCTTGAATATGTGTACATTCCATGTTAAACACACTTCCAAGTTGTTTTCCACTCCTTCATATGGATGGAGTAGATTCTTAAGGAAAGAAATGTTTTGTTTCACACTTTGAATGTAGCCGAGTGTCAATTTCAGCCCAGCCCGGCTACTCCGTTCTACGGGCACCCTTACAGTTCACACGGTAACGCCTCCTTTGCTTGTTTATCTCACATCTAGACGGAGTGGCTGTCAGGGAAGGGACTAAACCACGCCTTTGGTCCACCAGGACCATCTTCATTCCCAGCACCCAGCCTGATCCAGGGCGCATGGCAGACGTCCATAAAAGATTTCTTGAATAACTGATAAAGGAGAATTCAATGATGACAAGCATTTCAACCATGGAGGTAACTGTCTAAATCTGTCTTCAACAATAACAACTATTTAAAAAATTTATCCATAAATGACAATGTGTCATATTTAATAAGCATATGATAAAAGATGGCAACAATGTCAGCCGGGATGCCTAACAGGGGCCACCAAAGCCTGGGGCTTCCTCGGACTCTTCACCTCTGACATGTGTCATCTGTGAAATGTCAGTGTTTAATGCACACGAGCAGAGCGTTCTTTGAAGCGAAGGAGGCGGAGAGCCCAAGGAGGAGTGAGCCTCAAAGAAGAGGTGTTCAAGGTCTCCGGAAGCAAAGGAGCATTGGTGTGAAGAGGCATCTATGATTTGTGACTAAAAATGAAGGACATGCAAACTTAATGCCAGTGACACACAAACCAGAGTCTATTATTCCGTCACATCCTGTAAAGGTGCTTCTATAACGGGGCTGTTGGTGCAGTCACAAAAACAGGAATAATAGTCTTGGCAAATTGTCATCAGTGTGACCATTTCCCAGGGAACTCGGGGAGTGAGACAGTCCCCAAAATTAGCCCATCAAACAAACAAGACAAATGCACTGATTCTCCTAAGTGACGTGTAGCTTGAGACTCGGAATAGGGAAGGCGGCTCATGCCAGAGCGGAGGTGCCCGGGCACCACCGTTCGTTTGGGGGCCATATGTGCAGGACAACAAGCCTCCTTACAAAGGCGCACCAGTGTTTCCCCCAGGTACAGAGATGGAGCCCGGTGATGACCCCCTGGCCCTGTCCTCCTGCGGGGCCTGTGGACACTGGTTCCCTTGGTAACAGCTCCGGGGCCCTGTGGCACTGCGAGGAGACCACCCCATTTCCCAAGGATGAAAAAAGAAGTCTGCAGATGTCCACCTAGGCTGCATTTTAGCATCATCTAGAGATCCCCAAAGTCAGGGGCTGCTTAGATAACAGCCGTCCTTCAAAGGACATTTTTGTCAAACAAATCTAATCAAAGATCTTCCACTTGGAATTTGATCTGATTAGACCTTAAGGAAATGCCAAGAGACACACAAAAGCCTGAAAATATCTCAGGCCCCCAGAAGAAAATACCATGCTCAGTACCAGGGAAAATGTATCAGACTTACAATTAAAATAAAATCAGATTGTGCATTCTTTTAAACATTTCCCCTTGAAACTAGAAATTTAGACAAAACTATATTATGTTGTGATTTGACAGAGAAAAAGAGGCTGTCTCCAGTGGCTGCGAGTTACCACCCCCGACAGAAGTGATGTCAGTTCCCTCAAGAAGCTGGTCAGTTTGGCCAAACACTAAGTCATTTAAACAAATGCTTGATCTGATTGTCTCCTTTTCAATGAATTAACTGGCTGTGTGATGGAAGTGCTCAAAGGGTTCTGATATTTTCACACTGGTTGATGTAAGTCGGTCTTTGTTAACAGCTTTCTGAAAAGGAGAAAGAGAAATCAAAGTTGCCT